ATGGGCCCAGCTTTTTCTCTGGCCCAGTGCCTGCTTCCCCCCCCAGCTCTGGGTGCATCCAGGGAGCCAAGGGGAATTTCTTGCCGGGAAGCGGAGAGGAGCTGGAGCCAGCAGCAGGGCCAGCACAGCTGGAGGTGGAGCGGGCAGGGTGCCGGTTCCGTGAGCGGTCACTGTCAGTGCCCACTGACTCAGGGTCCCTCTGCTCTGTGGACATTGCATATGCTGAGACCCGTCGGGGCAGCGCCAACTATGCCCTGGGCTACCCCAGCGCTAGCTCCGAGGGCAGCACCAGCACTGACAACATCTCCCTGGGGCTGGAGCCTGAGGGGCAGCGGCGGCGGCGCTCCAAGAGCATCTCCCTGAAGAAGGCCAAGAAGAAGCCCTCGCCACCCACACGCAGCGTCTCGCTGATCAAAGAGGGGCAGGACGGTGATGTGGGGCTCAGTGCGGCACTGCCCAAGGACCAGCGGCCCAAGAGCCTGTGCATCCCACCAGAGCTCCAGGGTCACCGGCTGGTGCACACCGACCCCCAGGGGAGTGCAGGCAGAGAGCCCAACAGCGCAGCTGCCCCACACCAGTGGCATCTCACAGACTGGAGGGCTGGCAGTGATCCCTACCAGTCCCTCTCTGGCTCAAGCACAACCACAGGGACCACAGCTGTTGAGTGTGCCAAGACACGGGGCAGCTCTGAGTCCCTCATGTCCCCTTCAGTGTCCAGGGCCACGACGCCCTCCCAGCTCTCTGCCGAGGCAGACCTCAAGACTTCCTCACCAGGCAGGCCCACAGGGCTGATGTCCCCGTCCAGTGGGTACTCCAGTCAGTCGGAGACCCCAACCCCCACCGTACCCACCTCCACCATCCTTGGGCACTCCCCACACCAGGTGCGTGTGAGGCCACTGGTCCCCGAGAGGAAATCCTCTCTGCCCCCCACGTCCCCCATGGAGAGGAGTCCCAAGGGCAGGCTGTCCTTTGACCTCCCACTGACTCCACCCGCCCACCTTGACCTCTCAGGGCTGAAGATCTCCCTGAAGGGGAAGACTAAGGTCAGCCGGCACCACTCTGACTCCACCTTTGGCAGCAAGCTGGCCCAGAAGACCAGTCCCATCACACCCATCATGCCCGTGGTGACACAGTCTGACCTGCGCTCTGTCCGCCTCCGCTCCATCAGCCGCTCAGAGCCAGAGGACAATGCTGATGGCCCAGAGCACACAGAGGAGCCAGCACATGTCCCCTGCCCAGGGCCGGAGAGAAAAGTGAAGCCACCCGTGGCAGAGAAGCCACCACTGGCCAGGCGCCCCCTGTGCATCCTGCCTAAGCCCCCAGTTCTGCAGGAGGAGGGTCCTCTGTCCTCCAAATCCCCACCAGGCACTACCGCCAAGGAGAAGGGGCTGGCACATGATGCCTTCGTGGTGCTGCGGAGAGGGGAGCTGAGGAGGGGTCTGGGGGAGCCCCACTTGTCCCTGACCCCAGCGGGGCCCCGGCGACTCTCACAGGGCAGCCTAGACGAGCTGCGGCCAGAGCGGAGTGGTGCTGAGGTGGAGCGCAGGAAGGCCAAGGTGCCCCCCCCAGTGCCCAAAAAGCCCAGCGTGCTGTACCTGCCGCTCATCCCAGCCCCAGCACAGCTGGGAGCTGGTGTGAGGGACCTGCCACCCACCCCCAGCCCCATCATCACCCTGGACACTGACCCCACCTGCTGTGACCCTGACGCTGAGGATCCACCATCCCCCAAGGCTGTGGGCACTACGCCTGCCAGCAAGCCTGACTCAGAGCAAGGTGAGGGTCTCTCCGCCCCTGTGGTGGGATCACCCCATGGATAAGGGTTCCCCATCCAGCACAGGGGAATCACTGCTGTCTTCTCCCTGCCCACAGGCAGCTCAGCAGAAGCCGGCACGGAAGAGAAGAATTTTGCCAGCGACAAGACGGCTGAGTCCATCGTGGAGGAGGACGATGAGGTGTTCACAACATCCCGCACTACGGAGGATCTCTTCACGGTGATCCACAGGTAAGGCTGGTGCACACACTGGAGACGACAGCCCCTGCGCCCACTGTCACAGCTCTGGGTGTAGTGTCCCTCCACCATGACAGCTCCATTTTCCATACTGGGGTCAATGTTCATCCTTGGGGACAACCCAGTTGCTGCTACCTTGAGCAGAGTGCAACCAGCAAGGAGGGTCCAGATTAGTCCTACCTGCCATGAGCACCACCTGCCATGCTCATGTTGTCACCTTGCCCCAGCAGAGCAGGCTGGGCACTACCATGCTGCTCTCTCTGGGACCTCACCCCAGCCCCAGACTGCTCCCACCCGTGTCCCTTTGGTGCCTAGGTCCAAGAGGAAGGTCTTGGGGCGGAAAGAGCCTGGTGACACCTTCAGCAGCCGACCCACCTCCCACTCACCTGTAAAGACTTCAGGCTCCCCAGCTGGCGAGTCTCTGGCAGCAGCGAGCAGCAGTGGGAAGTCTTCCAGCAGGAATGAGGATTTTAAAGCTCTGCTCCAGAAGAAGAGCAGTAAAACAAGCCCTGGTACTCGGCCATCTGCCGCCGAACTGCTCAAGACCACGAACCCGCTGGCCCGGAGGGTTATCACAGAGTTTGCCCCTGAGCTGGACGGTGCAAACAGCCCCAAAAGCCAGCCCTGACCACACAGGGGCCCCTCCAGCTGGAGGGGTGGTGATGGCTGCAGACGGAGCGCTGCTGCAAAGGGCTGTCCTGGATGCTGGGGAGCCCCTGTATCCTGCTTGGGGGTTCTTCAGCTTTTGTTCCTTACTTGGAGAGCTGCTGGCAGAAAGGCAGTGGCTGGACCCAAAGCTGTCATAAATCTGGGCCCTTTCCACGAGGGAAGTGGCTGGAACTGGCCCTGGCTGAGCCAGCTCCTGGGATTGAAGGCACCTGCCCAGGAAGCAGAACAGGATCACAGCCCCTGGAGTTGCCCCATGCCCGCAGGAAAGCAGCTTGAGACTCTTTGGTCCCTTTGGCATGTGGTACTTTAAACAGATTTTCTAATGCACAATGGTGATGTTTGATTCTCTACCCTTTGACATTGTACCTTGAGTTTCCCATGCAGAGATCCCCTAATTGAATTCAGCTGGACACACAGATGCACTTTGGAAAGATGCCAGGGGTTCGGCTGGATCTGCGGCTGCTTTTGAAGATTCACAGGAGGTTCCCTGTCATTGCCCTGAGCATCCTCCCTGTCACACAGGGAACTGGCACCTGGCGTCCGTAGCCAGCGCCACCACCTCAAGCCAAACCCCCACCCCTTGAAAGCCCCCAAAATGCTGCATTTTGGAGCTCCTCAGCTCTCAGTCCAAAAACAAACCCTGGGGTCACCTCCACTGCCAGTCCCCCTGGCCTCAGTGCACAGGGGGTCTGGCAGCCACCCCACTCCCTGCCAGCCCCCATGCCGGGGGTCCCGCACCCAGCTGCCAACTGGGGCAATGAGGGTGCTGTGCCATGCAAAGGAAGCTCGTCCCCAGCTCTGCCTCCTGCATCTCCACGACAGACCCTGCGACAACTTCTCCTACTGCCTTGGCCACCAGAGGTCCTGAGATGCTATCGAGATGGTGGCTGGAATCCAGATGGACATCACCTGAGCCACCTCCCTGGTGACACCTGGGTCCCCCCAGGGTTGCCCACCACTCACCTGTGCCCACTGGCCACCAGGGAGCTGAGCAAGGCCGAGTGAGACACGTGCCATCAGGTCATGTCCACGGGGCTATGGAAGAGGGTTTGCACGTCCCTGGGTGGGATTTGTCCCCCTCGTTCCCAGCTGCCTCTTCCTGGCCTGGCTCCAGCACGGGGGCCCAGCAGCCAGTAACAGAGGCTGTGGTGGGGCTCGGGGCGGGGCAGGGAGGAAACACGAGCTCTGAACAGGAGCACGGCTGCACACCCAGAGAAACAGGAAGGGCCAGCCGCAGCTGACAAGAAAACAGGGTGTTTAGGGAAATTTCTGCTTGATTTCTTGATGTATTTCCACACACTCCAACCCTCCTGTGCTGCAGGGGGAGCGGTGCAGTGGGTCCAGGCAGCAGCAAGGCACCACAGCAGTGCTTCAATTGTCCCTCTGAGGGGCCTGGGCTGCTCTGGGGGGTCTCTGCCCCACCAGGAGCTCTGCATCCCTGGGAGCACAGCCCGGGCAAACACTTCCCCATCATTGCCACCATCCTGGATCTGATCCCACTGAGGATCCAGTGGGTTCCCCTCTCCTCCTTCCTGGTACTCACCCATCTCTCTCTTTCCTCTCCCAGGGCTGCAGATTTAAGCCTGTAATTAAGAGCCAGGCTGAGAAACTCAGGAAAAAAAAATCACAAAAAAGCTCTAATGAATGTCCACATTTCATCACCATCCCGTGGCCACAGCCAATGGCAGGGTGCTGGTGCAGGATGGGACCAGGGCACAGCTTGGGAAGCTCTGGGGACCGGTACATTTTGCACATGACTGCTCAGGAAACCAGGGACAGAGTCAGCAAAGGGGGCTGGGGGCAAGCACGGGGCAGGGACCCCCCTGCAACAACCCCAGCACCACTGGCAACTGGAGTAGGCAGCTGGAGTAGCCAATGCTGCTGGGGTGAAATACCCAAGTGGGCCAGAGAGCAGCTGTGGGACAGAGATTGGCCATGGGATGGAGATCCTAATTTCCCTGGCCGGAGGAACGTGCTCTTCCTGGGGCTCTTCCTGGCTGAGTGCTCATCTCTGGCCGCTCGCTCCCTGCTCCCTCTGACTGCGGCTGTTCCGCTGGGAAGGCAGTGGGTTCCCGGGAAGAGTCCGGCTGGCAGGACAGCCCTGTCCCGGGGTGGGGGCCGCCAAGGTGCCAACTATGGAATGTTGTACTTCTTATCTCGCCAGCTTGGTAAAGTGCTCCCTGCTGCCTGCCTGTGCCTGTGCTTCTTTGGGCTGCCAAGGGACCGGGGCTGGGGAGGTGGGCACCCCCTGACAGCCCTGGGTGACTCGAGGGGAACCGGCCCCATTAGCTGGGACTTCTCACTACGTCTGCCACGCACTCCTGTGTCCCCAGTGGCTCTGGGGCGGGGGGCCGCAGGGACACCGTGAGGTGTCAGGGACTGCCCAGGCTGGGCACTGGGGACAGGCCGGAGCGGGGTCCGGGGATGGTGTGAGGGGCTGCAGATGGACTGGGCGTCCCGGGGGCAGGTGGGGAGGATGAGAGGGACAGAACAGGCCGGGGAGACTGCTGGGGTCAGCCCTCGTGCTGGGGACGAGCTGGGGACAGCCGTGGCCCTGGGTACAGGCCGCGGGGAGGACTGGAAGTGGGGAGGGGTGGACTGGGACTGGGCTTGGAATCCTGGGGCCGGTGGGATGGACGAGGGCGACAGCCCTCAGTGTTGGGGACAGCCCTGGGCGGGCGCTGGGTACGGCCGCGGATGCCGAACGCTGCCCTGTGTGCCCGGTGGGTCCACCCTCGTCCGGGCGGGCACAACCCCGTATGCCGCAGCCCCGTAGCCCGCGGCCCCCGCCGGGCTCGGCCCCGCCCGGCCGCTCCACGCCGACACCGTGCGGGCAGCCGGGGACCTCGGGGCGGGGCAGGGGCGGTCCGGCCCGGCGTGGAGTGAGCGGCGCGGGGGCCTGACGGCGGCAAGATGGCGCCCAAAGGGAAAGGCGGCGGCAAAGCCGGGAAGGGTGAGCGGGGCTAAGCAGCACCGGGACCGGCCGGGCGGGGCTTCTGGGGCGGCACCGGGACCGGCCGGGCGGGGGTTCTGGGGCGGCACCGGGACCGGCCGGGCGGGGGTTCTGGAGCGGCACCGGGACCGGCCGGGCGGGGGTTCTGGAGCGGCACCGGCACCGACCGGGCGGGGGCTCGGGGGCGGTGGGGGCCAAGCTGGTCTCAGAGCCCGGCAGGGTCGGCGGGGAGCGGGCCGGTGTCAGGGTGCTCGGTTCACAGGCGGCGACAGCGGCAGCAGCAGCGAGGGCAAAGCACAGGGCCCGAAGGGAGGCGGCAGCGCCGTCAAGGTGAGCGCGGGGGGCGTCGGGGACCAGGCAGGGTGCGGGCTCTCCGCCCCAGCACCTGCAGGCTCGTCCCGCCCGCCGGCCCCGCTCGCCACAGCCCCGCTGTCCGCCCCTCCAGGTTCGGCACATCCTGTGCGAGAAGCACGGCCGGGCCATGGAGGCCATGGAGAAGCTGAAGTCCGGACAGCGCTTTAGCGAGGTGGCAGCACAGTACAGCGAAGACAAGGCCAGGCAAGGGGTGAGTGAGTGCTGCGCCCGGGATAGGGCAGTGGGGCTGCAGGAGCCTGGGTCCTGCTCTCACCAGCAGGACCTGTCCCACTGCCACATCACCCACCCTCCCTGCTCTGAGTCTCAGAGCTTAACCCCGACGGTCCCTTGCTGCAGGGTGATCTGGGCTGGATGACCAGAGGCTCCATGGTGGGACCATTCCAGGAGGCAGCATTTGCCCTGCCTGTGAGCAGCATGGACAAGCCCGTGTACACAGACCCTCCCGTCAAGACCAAGTTCGGATACCATATTATCATGGTGGAAGGCAGAAAATAAAATGTGAATGACCATTATGACCTTGTTGACTGCTTCAATCCTGAGTCCCAGACACCTTGGCCTTGGAGCAAGTTGGGCATAACCAGCAACATGCCTGGAGGCAGCTGTGCTAGCAGAGCAGGGCCCTGCCTGGAGAGGTAAAGTGTCCCTGGGAAGGGTGAAACAAGAGCCTTTTATAGATGTTGAAGTCTTTGTTGCTTGGCAGGCCAGCCTCTTGCTTCTCCACATCTGTGGAGATAATGGTCTCTCAGCAGAATGAGGTGCCCAGGTTTTTATCTGCAAACAGAAATTATGCAGAAAGGGACAGAGGGGTCCCCAGGGCTTGGTCTCCATCTCCATCCTCCCCAGGAGGATGCAGACAGCTCACATGGTGCAGTTTGTGCTCCAGAGCTGCAGAACAGTCCCTTCAGTGGAGGGTGGGTAACACTGGAGCTGGGTCAGGCCAGGCAGGGAAGAGAGCTGGGGGTAAGAGGCGAGGAAGAGCTCGCCTGAGTGCAGACTCATCTCTTCCTACCGCTCCATCTTGCCCACTCAGAGCTGGGGGAAGAAACTGGATAACACAGGTTTGGATAAGAAAAAAAGTCACTAGATACTTGTGTGCCACTTCCTGCTCTCCCCTGTGCTGTGGGGTGTGCAAGGGAAGCAGCCCAGCAAGATTCCTGCCATCTCAGGAATCCAGCCCAGAGCCATGGTCCCCTTCCTGCCCACAGAGCCCCCCGAACCAGCTACAGCTCCAGCAACAGGCACCAGCTTTGTTTAAGGTGAGCACCATGCACAGAGCTCAGAGATGAGGAGGAAACATCAAAGAAGAAAAGGTCTTCCCTCCCTTTTCAGGGTGTTGGTTTTGCTGAGTATGGAACTCTCAGAGAAGCCAAGGAATGGCTTGCAGTGGAGGGCAGACAGGCTGCCCAGAGCAGACACTGCCCCATGTAATGGTGTTTTGTTAATAAACCACTTGTTTCCAGCTAACAGAGCCCTGTTCTTTCTTTTGGCAAAAACACATTAAGACAACTGCACCAGCAGAATCTGCTGTGTTTGCTCTGGTTCCAAATACAAAGAGCTCCTCTCCCAAACTGCACAGCTCAGCCAGGTGTGGTGTCCTGTGCTACAGCGTAGCATTGCAGAAGGCAATGCCATGGCACAAGGAAACATCTGTATCTGCTGCTGTGCTGTTACCAGGTGAGACTGGCAGGATGAGCCCAGTGACCAACACACCAGACAGGTTGTGTTGGTGAGGGGCAGTCACTGAAAGCCAGAATCAGGAGCTTTTAAACTGCTGGTTTGTGGGATTGAGGCACTCAGCCAGTTTGCTGACAACACTGAGCTGTGTGGTGTGGTCACACACTGGAAAGGAAGGATGGATCCAGAGGGACCTGGACAGGCTGGAGAGATGGGAACACGTGAAAAGTACAAGGTTCTACACCTGGGTCAGAACATTTTCAGGCACAGCTACAGAAGGGGCAGAGAAGGGATTGAGAGCAGCCCTGGGAGAAGGGCTTTGGGGTGATAGTTAAAAAAAAAAACTCATGAAAAACCATGAGCCAGCAGTGAGCATTCCCAGCCCAGAAACCTCCTATGTCCTGGGCTGCACACAAAGGAATACAGGCAGCAGGACTACTCTGCACTCCCAAGATCCTGCCTAGAGTCCTGCACATAGTTCTGGGGCCCCCAGCACAAGAAGGACATGGAACTGTTGGAGCAAGTCCAGAAGAGGCCATGAAGTCGGTAAGAGGACTGGGGCATCTCCCCTGTGAAAAAAGGCTGAGAGAGTTGGGGCTTTTCAGGCTGTTCAGCCTGGGGAAGGTTGTGTGGACGCCTCATAGCACATTTCAGTATGTGAAAGGGCCTACAAGGGAGCCAGAGAGGGACTCTATCCAGAACTGGGATGACAAGATACAGAGTAATGGATTCAGACTGACAGAGGGCAGGGTTAGAAGAGCTATTGGGAAGAAATTCTTTCTGGTGAGAGTGATAAAACACTGGCACAGGTTGCCCAGAGAACCTGTGGCTGCCCCATCCATGGAAGTGTTTCAAGACCAGGTCACCTGGACCAGCAACCTGGTCTAGTGGAAGAAGTCCTTGCTTGTGGCAGGGGTTGGAACTGGAAGGTCTGTAAGGCACCCAAATTGGCTTATTTAAAACCCGAAGGAGGGAGGAACTGCAGCACCACAGAGCTGGGCTGTACAGTGGCCATGGGACTGTACTGTCCCCATCTTCTCAGGGGAGAGGAGCAGCAAAACCTGGAAGGTAGAAAGGTTTCAGGGCTCCCAGCATGGAGAGGTGTTGGAATCCTAGATGCTGAGAATTTTAAACTTTCTGTGCTTAAAGGCACAGACCCACAAGAGAACACGGCAATTGACCTGAGGCTGTGGAGAAGACTTCCAAAATTGATTAATAGCACTGGGATTATGGCTGTAGTTGGTTAGAAGTGTGTAATATCACAGAGTGGGAAACTTAGAGTTTGGGGTCTTAGAATATAGAAATAAATATGAAGCAAGGTGGAGGTTTTAGGGTGGAGGCAGGTTGTTCTTTACCTTCTTCTTCCTTCTTCATGGGTTTGGGTGGCATTTTGTAATTGGGCACAAAAGTCCGCATTGCAGGCTTTGAGGGATTAGTGATTGGGTTAAAAGGGAAAATAATCTAGGTGTCCTTTCTTAATTGGATAGTTTAGTCTTAAAAGACCTTGTAACAAGAGACAGTTAGCCATTTTTGTGCCTTGCTAATGAAAGGCTGCAGAACTCATGGTTGTGAGGCTGTTTCACTGTTAAGAAATAATAAACACCTGATTGTGAACATGAACTACCGTCTCAAGTGCCTTCAATCCAGACCCAGAGAAACTGATAAGAGTTGGGCTTAGACATCAACAATACCATTCTTTTATTGAATAGTCACACAGGAACATGAACCATTTCAACCTTTGTGAGTTGACTCCACAGTGAAGTTCCCTCCCCAGCATCCAACATCTGGATGTTTGGGCTGTTTCCTCAAGCAGGAGGTGCTGAAGGCACACAAGTATATGGCAGGCACCAGCCTGGAGCTGGCTGACAGATCCCAGGGCTGTGGTGTAGACATAGGGTAAAAAGGAACAGCCAGACTCTCTTCACAGAGCCATACACATGTCACTTCTGGGCCAACTGTTTGTACAAGTTGAGAGTCAGACGCATAACTTCAGGATCTCCACTTTTTATGTCAAGAGCTTGCACGAAGCAGTCCAAAGCTTCCTGGAGTTTTCCATCATTCTGAAGTTTCTTCCCACTGTGTACCAAAGTGTCATAATCTGCAGCAGGAGAGGAACTCTGCCCAATGGCCTTTTCAGAGCTGCTTTCCTGGGTGAAGTAGTCAACCTGCTCGCCTGACTGGAGCTCAGTGTCACCTGTGGATTCCTCCTGAGATGATTCCATCTCCTCTGCCTCAGACTGCTCAGATTCCACGTTGTCTGTGTGGGAGGACTCTTCACTTGTATCAAGTGTTTCTCCATTAGGTTCTTCTTCAGGCTCAGCAGATTCCCCAGTGCACTCCTCAGCTTTGTCTTCCACAAGCCCATCTTGCTCCTCATCACCATCATCATCATCTTCTTCATCAGTGGTGCCCATGATTTCCCCAATATCCTCCACCTCATCTACCAACCTGCTGATGAACGAGCACCTGGAAGCATTAGACCTGTTTCCACTGTTATTTAGTTGGGGAGAAAAGATGGCTTTAGCTCTTGTGTCATGTTTAGGGGTGGAAGCGCTAATTCCTTCCAGAAGTCCATGCCGAATGCTGTCGAAGGGAGAGGAGGCCACTTGTTCAGGCTGCTCTTCACTCTCACTGTCTGAAGCAATTCTGTTTAAGCGTTTCTTCCTACTAAAAGTAAAGAGACCACTGCTTTCCTCCAACGATTTACTCCCTTGCAGGGAGGCATTTGGCTCTTCCTCAGCTGTGGGACAGGGTTTGCCATGGCTACTGGTCTCACTTGGCCAAGTTTTGTTTGGAGATTCTTTGTCTGGAGATTTACACAAGCTTTCTGACTGGAGTTGTAAGCTGTCCTTCTCAGGGTGTTCCCCTGATCCTCCTCTATTTGAGGCATCCTGGCATTCCTCTTCAGACTCTTCCAAAACCAGATTGAAGTCAACTTGATCCTGGAAGGAAGAAGGAGCAGATGTACCCTCCAAGCTGTCTTCCAACACGTGAGACTTGTGGAGCTCAGCATTGATTTCTGGCATAGCATTTGATAAACTCAGCACTGCAGAAGCTGGCTCAGGAAAATTGTTCTGCTCTGTCCCCAGGGCAGCGTGTGGGTCAAGTAGCTGAACTGACAATTCTGCCTCACTTCTACGGTCGTCAGCCATGCCAGAATCGGAGGAATTGTGACAATGCCAAGACTGGTCATTCCTTGCCTTGGCCGAGCTGTCTGAATGTATCTGTGAATGCTGTTTCTCTTGGAGGCTCTGACTCTCTTTCTCGAGTGCAGGGGATGATGGTGTAATGCTAGATTCAGGATCTTGCTCAGATTCTTGTAGATCAGATTGTTCTGCTGCCTTGCTGATATTGAGCACTTCTGTCTCCATACTGGACACACCTTGTGCCAGTTGCTCTTCATCCAAGTCAGCAACAGTTAGAGTTGTCATTCTGGAGCTGACATCAAGCACCTGGACCTCTTCATCCTCTCTAAGATCAATAACTTGGTCTTTTTCATGTACGTCAGTTATTGGTGGTGAAACAAAGTTATTTTTGTCATTCAACCCTGGAGACAACTTCTTTGGCCTGGAAACTGATCCCGATGGTCTTTGCCACTTCTCTTCACAAGCATTTCTGATCCCCTCCATCCTCTGATCTCTGAGCTGGGACTCCAACTGAACCAGCTCGTGGGCTTTCTGTACCCTCCGCTGGATATACTGATGGGCTTCCTCGCTCTCCACCTGCTCCTCATGAGCTATCTCCCTTGTGTAGATCAGGTCGTGGTCAGAAATACCAAACATTGCCAGGGAATGCAGGTAAGCAAGGTGTTCATCGAGCTGCAGGTCAGACTTCCTTT